CGTAATTGTTATCTTCTCTTGACACACGTACAAATATTAATAAGACGTTGGATCTGACTGTGTGAATGCATATCGAGTTGAGTTTTGCAATTTGGGGTTTTTAAGAAATAATAATGTAATGTGAGTAATAGTGTGGTCCAGACCATGTAACCAACACCTTGTGTGGTCTCAAAAACACACATTGTAGACCAGGTCTGGTCCAGGTCTGAAACACCACTCCAATTATGTGTACCCCAGCAAAGCCATGCTGAAAATGTAAGAGTAGATCTGTGAGTCCTGATTAATAATTAACAAACAACATTTTAATATATAAACCAACTTGCCACTGTAAGTCTAAAATAGCTTTTAGGGCCCTGCTAGTTTATGGAAATTTCTTTCCCTTACACTAACAAGGCCATAAATGTCAGTCATTGTCCTGTAATACCAGACTTCAAAACTCACAGCGTCTACCAGGAGCTCTTTTCAGTACGTTCAGTATGTTAACAACTACAATAAATGGCCATGAAAAAAACAATCATTGATATCCAGGATAGTTAGACATAGACATGGGCTTTTGTACGTAGGAAGTAAGATTGTCAGCCTGAAGAGAAGAGATAAAAAGAGAAGACTAACGGGAAGTGTCAAAAAGAAAAGAAAAGAAAAGTGAAACTGTGGTGCCTGCAAACAAATCGCAGAATTTCCAAAGGAAAACAAGGAAATTGCACCAAAATGTAAAAAAGACCGTCTAGATAAGGGTTGGGACATATTGGTTGTGTACTGCTGAACATTTAAGCTCTTTAAATCATGGTACATTTCACATGAGTCATTTGCAGAATAACCTCTGAATCACATATTTAAACCGTAACACTAACAGGTTTGACCTGGTTCATACAGCCTATGCAGAATAAGGGCATATCTGAGGTATTGGTGAGTGGTCACCTAATGATGCATTTATTTCCCATGATGTAAGCTTGAAAAGGTGATTGTTGCAGCTATCAGTTTAAGTTGGAAGGGGTGTGGTCAGCTTGTGTAACCTTTGTGTGACCTGGACATCAGTGGGATTTTGTTTTTGTTTTTTTTTATTTTCACATTTTTCCCAGGTATTTCCTGGGCTGGGAGAATTTAACTTTGGGTTAGGAAATAAAAACAACAACAATGACAACAGCAAGGAGTTCATGGACTAGCCTTTGCTGTCTGGGGCCTCAATAACTGCACAAACCTTCACCTGACACATTTATTGCAATTATTACAGCTGTGTTATATAGGACTAATAGCCTTTTGTAACTCCAAACAGGAAGTCATTTAATGAATTGGGCTGTGTGTGCGCAAAAAGTAACTTGTTGATGGTCCCTTAACTGAACCGTGCCTGCGCAGTCATCTCTAGGAGGAAATAAAGGTAGAGCAACTGCTGGAATGTGTTTTAAATACAGAAGGAAAACTGGGTTAGTGAGGCACTAGATCTTACAATTTAAAAAATAACTTGCGTTTTCAATTTCCGTATCCCAGACAGAAAGTGTACCATCGAGAGACGCTGGTTGAACCGCAACTTCTTCAATCCTCCAATCCTTCACTCTTCTCCACAAACATTACAAACTAAAAGAAGAGAGGGCAAAAACATGCAGACCTACCTTTAGCGACGCTCGTTATCAGCTCCCAAATCCAGACTTCAGTGTCATTGTGATTAAGAATATAGCTCTCCACCAGCGTCGGTGATACAGAGACGGAGGAGGTGCTTCGGTTCTCCGCTGAACAGACGAGAACAGGACTGAACACAGTCTGCCTGTGCGTGCGTTTGCGCGTGCGTGTGTGAGAGTGTGTGTCGGTAGCCAAGACAGGAGCACAGCTTCACACAAAAGTAGCACCGTTTTCACAACCACGAAAAAAGCGCACACGGAATTCACGGCAGTCGCAGAGCGATTGACGAGAAACAATATGAAAAAATATGACCGCCCGGAAAAAGTTGCTAACCACAAACAGCTCTGTGACCCAGCGGTCAGAAGTTGACTCAGCTAGGAAAGACGAGCGTGATGGTGTTGGCCGTAAGCTTTCCAGTACCAGTTTGCAACCACGTCCACATGAGGGCGCGTAACGGCAATATGTTGTCACTGAATATACGCGATAGATGGATAGAGATAGAGTATCTAACATCACGATGACACATCTGACTAAAGATAAGCATACAAGGAAACCGTTTCCCCTTTTGACCGATGACATTTTAATATTGTGTTAAATATAAACATGTCTATATTTGGATGTATTTGCGTCATTTTGCTTTTACTCAATGCTATTACACCTGCCATTTCAAACACCTGGAATATTTCTACATAAACAACGGTAGTTTTAAAATTATCAATAAAATTATGAATAAACCTTAACTCGTGTAAAAAAGTACGACTGCTTGAAAATCTGCTTAATTTGAATATATTCTCATTTTATTTGGCTATTTGCTGTCCCTAAAAGCAAATTTGTCAAGACATTTACTTTTAAGATTTTACCGCGGTCATTACACAGTGCAAATCTTTCGAAATTAAAGAGATCCCCCCCCCTCTTACACATACACAGTTAGGTGTTAGTGTGCTCCTAAAATGTTTACAAACCCGTTCGGTCCATTACGGTGGCTCAACAGGAAGTTTTTTTTAAGTCAGTTGACGTCATCATAGGAATATAAAGGTTGTGGCGACACATACGCTCATCACCTATTCGAACTCCCTCACTGCAACAGCGGAGAGACAGAGGAGCAGAGGAGGGCAGAAGACAGAGAAGAGGGACAAATAAATACAGAAAGAGGAAAGTCTCTTTGGACTATGAACAGACAGACACTCTCGGTTTTCCTGTTGGCGCTGGGCTTTCTTGTTTGTGAAGGAGGTAAAAGAACAACTTATTAAATCCAATTTTACAAGACGCTAAGTTAACTTTTTAGATGTATTTAAATGTTTTAGCGTGGTTTTGTAGTCATATACTTTCATATGCTTGTTTTGAAAAATCAATGCATTGACAACAACAACAAAACTATTTTAATTCCGATCTTGAAAGCTATACAAGTATAATGATTCGTTAAAAATTGTATAGATTTTATTTTTAACATTTAGTTTTGAGACCTGTATGAATAAAAGTGAACTGTAAATGATCCATTCCAGGTAACCCATGCTGCTCACAGCCGTGTGAGAACAGAGGCGTGTGCACGGCACTTGGAAGTGACTATGAATGTGACTGTACTCGCACTGGATACTATGGACAAAACTGCACCACACGTAAGTAGAAGGTCAACAATACGACAAGTCAGTTCAGCTCTGTTGTCTTTATGGTGTCGGATGGTTTTGAGTTATTTATTTTCGTTTCCTGGATCTTCTTACAGCTGAGCTCCTGACACTGATAAAGGTTTACCTGAAACCATCGCCCAACACTGTCCACTACCTGCTCACCCACTTCAAGGGCTTCTGGAACATCATCAACAGCATCTCTTTTCTCCGGGATGCCATCATGAAATATGTGCTGACATGTGAGTCTCCTGCCAAAGGCAAAATTAGATGGATGGGAGATGTCTTCCTGACACTTTAAACAATTTGTAAAGCACACAAGTGGTAGTTCAGTTTATATTAAGTGTGACATTTTTTCTTCTTCTTTCTCTCTACCCCTTGCAGCCCGTTCCAATATGATTGATAGTCCTTCAACTTATAATTCAGATTACGATTACAAAAATTGGGAAGCCTATTCTAACATCTCATACTATACCCGTGCCCTCCCTCCTTTACCTGAGGATTGCCCCACTCCTATGGGTGTCGTAGGTGAGTACACACCTTTGTTTCTTCTCTGGAGAACCTGTTTTTACAGATTCTTCAATACTGAGCAATAGTGCAGTAGTTCTAATTACGTAATGGGAAATGTTAAATTATTGTTTCGGTTGACAAGCATGTTTAAAGACAATCCTGTGTGAAAGACAGTTGTTTTCTATTTATGGCATATATCAGATTTACTGCATAGTGATTTCATAACAAAAGTAAGTCATGGCACGTTGTTGAGATAATGTGTTTTATTGAAACTGTGAATCACAACCATAATGTCCTTTGTGGTTTCCCCAGGTAAGAAAGAGCTTCCTGATGCCAAGGTTTTGGCTGAAAAGCTCCTGATGAGAAGAGAGTTCATCACAGATCCACAAGGAACCAGCCTGATGTTTGGATTCTTTGCACAGCATTTTACTCACCAATTCTTCAAAAGTGACATGAAGAAAGGACCTGCTTTTACTCTGGCAACAGGGCATGGGGTAAGAAAGACAATTAACAGAGTAATATCAGATTTCAACCAGGGAAAAATGAATTAAAAAATAAATATGTATTTGAAAATAATTCATACTTTTATTCATTATGCTCTCAGGTGGACCTCAGCCATGTTTATGGTAACGACCTGCAGAAGCAACACAAGCTCAGACTGTTCAAGGATGGCAAACTGAAACATCAGGTATGATGAGAAACAATGGCACTCACATAGCTGCACAATTCAAACCTCCTTGTGTCTAAAAAATGTTTCCTCTATTTTGCAGGTCTTGAATGGAGAGGTTTATCCTCCAACAGTGAAGGAAACGGGTGTTCATATGATCTACCCTCCTCACATCCCTGAGTCTCAGCGCTTTGCTGTGGGCCACGAGGCCTTCGGCCTGGTCCCTGGCCTGATGATGTATGCTGTCATCTGGCTACGGGAGCACAATCGAGTGTGTGACGTGTTGAAGGAAGTGCACCCTGACTGGGATGACGAGAGACTTTTCCAAACCACAAGGCTCATTCTGATTGGTAAACAGATGATACTTACATCATTAAGACAAGGAAGTGTAGAAATTATTGCTAAAACTATTACTATATAGTCCATTCCTGTGGTTACAGGTATTTAGACTACTTTTGTGAAAACTCGAGCATAAATGCCTTTTAGAGAAGTGAATATTGTTTTCAGCAAATAAAGGACGAAATGCTTTGTTAGGTTTAACAAAAAAAGCCATGTTAGACGAATCCTGATCTTTACAAGAATCTGCACACTATTAATTGTTGAATCCTTTGACTCATAGGTGAGACCATCAGGATTGTGATTGAAGATTATGTGCAGCACCTGAGTGGCTACAACTTCAAGCTGAAGTTTGACCCCGAGCTTCTCTTCAAAGAACAGTTCCAGTACCAGAACCGCATCGCCTCAGAGTTTAACACACTCTATCATTGGCACCCCCTGATGCCGGATACCTTCCGTGTCGGGGAGACACACTACAATTACAAGCAGTTTATCTTCAACAACTCTGTAGTGATAGAGCATGGCATCAACAAGATGGTGGAGTCGTTTACCAATCAAATTTCAGGACGGGTAGGAACGACGTTCAGAATTGATCATGAATTTATGCTTGCGTTTACAGATAAGTTGAAAGTGAAAAACTAACCTTTCTGTTTCTTTCATTCTTAGGTTGCTGGTGGCCGGAACGTTCCTGTGCCTATTCTGTATGTGACCGTTGAGACAATAGAGCACAACAGAAAATTGCGTTACCAGTCCTTAAATGCCTACAGAAAACGTTTCAACATGAAGCCCTACAGCTCTTTTGAGGACCTGACAGGTAAGATCACGTTCAGCCACAAGAAATAAATTGAGTTTGAGAGCAAGATTATAAATATATACATATAAAAATCCAAACTAATTGATATTAAGTAGTCTCTGATGAGGTCCCCAGTGACTTTTGTGTAGAGGAATTCATTTCCGTGACTCTTACGGAGCCAGATGTTGATTTCTTCTTGAGATTGTCATCACAGATAGTTTGAGACCTAAACAGACCTGGGAGGCCTCCTGCTTCACTGGATTCAATGTTGATAAAAAGTAAACGTGATCTAGGACATAAAAAGTTTCTTTTTTTCCCTGTGTGAAAAAAAGACATGAAAGAAATTATGCTAAATTGAGATAAGGACATTCTGTCATTAAAAATTTGAGTCTTGACAATGAAAAAAACATTTTCAGAAGTATTTCAAGTTCTGCACTGGAAAGACAGACCAGACCGAGTTACTTACTAAAACATGTTCCCATTTGATTTGCTTAGGAGAGACAGAAATGGCGGCATTGCTGGAGGAAATGTACGGACATGTCGACGCTGTAGAGTTTTACCCTGGCCTTCTTGTGGAAAAACCCAGACCTAATTCCATCTTTGGGGAGACCATGGTGGAGGTAGGGGCTCCTTTCTCCCTGAAGGGACTGATGGGGAATCCCATCTGCTCCCCAGAGTACTGGAAACCCAGCACCTTTGGTGGAAAAGTAGGCTTTGAAATCGTCAACACAGCCTCTTTGCAGAATCTCGTCTGCAACAACGTTCGTGGCCCCTGTCCCGTGGCATCTTTTCAGGTGCAAAACATAAAAGAGACGGAGCCTGTGATCATTAACTCCAGCACATCCCAGTCACAGGGTAGTGACATCAACCCTACAGTCATTTTAAAAGAGACAAGTACGGAGCTGTAATTAACTATTCTTTTCATTTGTGAGCCATCCTGTTTTTTATGTATGTGTCAATGCATGTATATTTGTATGTATTTATTTATTTATTTATTTAAGTCTAAGTTTATATTTATTGTTAACGCTATTAACGTTATAACGTTTAAAGTTAGAACATTTTCTCGTTAGATATAAAACTGTACATATTTTGTGACAGGTAAAAAATATTTTATTTTATTTTATTTATTAGTTCATTGTATGATATATAGGAATATAAAGTGGCAGTAATTTAACGACCTCAATCTATGCAACCTGATACTTGAAAAGTGGTTTACAGTTTTAACAGTTAACTGGTCGTACATTTGTCTCAGTGCACCACACTTTACTGTTTTTACAATAGTACACTATACTAGTGTTGTTCAGTTAACTCCATGACTGATCATATTTCCATGCTGGTCACCATACAGCAAAAACATTCCTGTGTCAATTTTCTTTTTATAAATTATATATAAAATAATTTTTTTCTTTCTTTTGGTCTACATCAGTATGTTTTTACCTGGATGGTTTGAAAATATAACTGTTTACAAAGTATATGACCACATGGGGCAGTTTGTTTCCAATTCTGTGGCTTTTGCTGACCTGGAAGATAATAAATGCTACAATAAATTGATGCACATTTCTCAAAAACCTGTGTATTTAATCTTTTATGATGTTTCTATTCTTTTCAACCCCTGAATATAAATATTTTGGGCTTCAGAGTTACACCAAAAAACAAAAAAACATTCCAATAATTTTAATATTACAACTTTTTGCCTTTTTCAGATACTGGGTTACTTTTCAGTAACCGCCATTTTCTTTAATCTCGCGATGAAACCTCTCGGGATCTAGACTTTATATGTTTGTGTAAATACTTCCTGTCTAATGGACGTTAGCCGTACGGTACGGATAACGATGTACACAAACCATTAACAATGGCGGCGGCAAACATCGGTAACGTACAGGAAAACGTTAGAAAAATTAGCATTCAGCGGACATGGTTGAACGAGAAGAGCGCGAACGTTAACTTTTTTGTGTGTCGGATTACATGAAGAAGGGGGTACCAGGCTTTGCACCATTAATGTGGTAAGTATGTTTCAAGTTATGGTTTCAAAAGGTCCACAATCCGACCATTTTTAACATTAAGTCCTATTTATTTTTTTTTGTTTGTTTGTTTTTTTACATGCATTCTACGTTTATAGTGATTAAACTAAAAGCAAATAACTCAAAAGTTGCATCCAATTGGATAAAGAATGAAATCAAAATGTGTGAATAGTATGGTTATCAACTGTCCCATCCTTGCCAGCATGTACAATTTGTTCAGGGATTGAAGTACAGTGAATAAAATAAATCAAAATGACATTTCAATCCAATTAAAAACCACATCAAGGGAAAGGCTATTAGAAAAGTTCTACAAAAAGCTTGAGTTCAAGAATAACTTGTGCACTTATTTTCCCAGGCTTATAAACCGTGTGTCAGGATGAAAATTTACTGCTGCAGTGAAATTCACTGAACCCACTGAATAAAATATATTTTTATCTTTGGTGTCAAACTCTGCAAGTGAACAAAAAACAATGTTGGCCAGAAATGAACAGCAGATCAATTAACTTAATAACAAGATGAATGGATTAACATAATAAATACCAAACTTCAGCTATTGCATTCCAACTTGGCTTAAGGGCTTGTTGTTTTATCTCAACCTAAATGCACAAGATAAAATTGTGTTGCTGATAAAACTTGTAGTCACTTGTCATGCACCCAAACATGAGAGGAAACATGGCATCAGCTCCAGGGTTACAAAAATGGCTTTGGACAGGACAGATATGGAATTTCTCACAATTCTATTGTCTATTCTTTTAAAGTTTTATCAATAAAGGGAAACTATTTAATTGGTCTGTGTACTGTACCTGAGGCAAAGTGTTAATGATCTTGCACAATATTCAGTATATTACAATAAATAGCTTGGGAAGGCAGTTTTTGTTTTTTTATGAGTATCATGCTCATTTCAGGTTATTATCATAACAAATACCTGAATTGAAATGAAGGAAACGACTTCATACAGGGCTCTGGTATTAAGCATATCTTTAAACTGTTCCACTGGTTGATATACGCTTTGCCAGGAAAGGATGAAAAGCGATGACATGATTCTTACTGTATATGAGGGGCAAAGAAGGGTTGTCATTCCCAAAGCGTACAGGAAACCCTGCCTCAGCAGTATAGGCTGACAGTGCGACTGGGAGACCCCTTCCAAAACAAACGGTGGAAGGAATGTTGACGTGACTGCCAGCACAAGTGATGAGTCAGCCTGCAAAAAAAAAAAAATCACCAAATACAAAAAACGGACTATGAAAGACCAAAATTTCCCATTTTCTCTCACTTTCCCAGGGTAGACACAAAGAGCACATTTACTCAGCACCGTTGATGATTAAACCAGACAAGGAAACTGCATTCAAATGTTAACCTTTATTTCACCAGTGTGCATGTGATTTTTGAATAGCTTCCCCTTAATTCGTTCCTCTTTGACCTACACTACAGCTTCACTGACTTTACACTATTTTAAAACAAATACCTCAAAATCCTTTTTATCTTTACTCTATGTATTCAAATTTAGTCCACATGACAAAAGATGTGGTTATTGTGCTTGGTTTATGGAGACCAATGTTTCAATCACTGATATTTCTATGGACGCGATGGACGCGTGAGAACCTGCTTGGAGACAGAGAAGCTCACAGAGCAGAAGGACAGCAGTGTGCCAGATGAGGGGCAGGCATCCTTGTTGTCTGATATGTTCTGTGAGAAGATTATTGCGGTTTAGTACACAGTCAGAGATCAATGCAATGGTATTAATTATTGGCGTAATCATTTATATCAGTGTTTATTTCGGGGCATCACTATTTAAAACACACTCAGGGTTTGGACATCCAAACCAACATCAGCTTTGCTGGTAAACTGTTGCTAGTCCTTCTTTAGTCATCCTGCCGTTTACTGTAGACCTTTACAGGTTTTGTTGATAAGTACTCCAGGATTTTGGTCATTAACAAGAAACACAATTTCAAATGAATAATCACAGTGCTTTTCCAAAGTTATAAAAACAAGCTCTTCCTGTCACAGTAAAGCAGGAAAGTACAGCGATAAAGAGAGAGGTGGAAACAAGTACAGAAATGACGAGAGAACCTGAAAAAACATCCTGCTTAACATTTAAGGGTGAGATTTAAACTACTTAGAGGGATACCCGTTTAAAAGATCATTATAGTTATCCTCATACTATGGCTAAATTAATTTGTGAAATTAAATAAAATAAGATTGCTCAGATTTTTAAAGAGATTTTTAAAATAAAGCATTTTATTGCAAGGGCAGAATGATGTGCACTGCATATCCAATAATTCCACCATCCATCCACTTATCGTTGCTCTTATACAGTTAAAAAAAAAAAAATACATACACTGCAGGATAGAGAATTTGTTTAATTGAAGCACCTTGAGCTCTAAACACCACCTCAGCACCCATGAACCCACAGCCACTGCTTTTTTTAGTCTAAACAGTCTTAACTGTTTAGTGTCCTTGCCTGATACCCACAGATATGCTTCAGAAAGGTTAGAGCACAGGAGCTATACTGCGATATGTACTGTAGTTCTCTGACCATTTTTCAAAAGTGGGAACCAGACTACTTGTGGGGCCACAACTCTTCTTGGTTGCTGACCAGTGCTCTTATGATTTGGTGCTGTTTACTTTTTTTTAACTCCCTCACTCTGGTGAGTTATCAAACCCAGATGTTGTTTGGGCTCCAAAGGAGTTCTGTTAAGCATGCTATCAAAGAAAAAAAACTCTAGTCTGTTAAATGTGATCCCAACTGTGAACTCACCCCTAAGGTATTGTTAAATATATGCAGTATTCTTTTGGCTGTGACTCACTGTTTTGGTTCATTAATTATAAACAGGGTTCTGGCGTCGCTGTGTTGAGAACTGCAACAGTAGTTTCAGTGTTTTATGATGGTGGCTGTAACACTACCTAACTTGCATCCACCTGTATTATGTGGAAGCCACTGTGGTATCATGACACCTGATATAACAGGGTGGTGATAATGTGAAACTTTCAGTCGTTAGGGAATCTCGACAGCTCCAAACAAAATCAGGATTTGTCATAATCACTGAAGCCACACTTTAAAAAGGAAGAATGTTTTATTTCAGTCTTGACACGCTCACACATAAATCACCACACCACACAATGGCTTAGGCGATGGTGACTGTAGGGACGCTTAAGGCGTTGGAGGTGCCAGTCAGGTGAGATTCCTATTGAAAACCACAAACTTTTGGGCTTTTGTTTAACGTTGTGATTAGTCCTGATGGGCCTAATAAAACCTGTAGGTGTTGAAAATATATTTCCAGAAAAGAGAATCAAAGTAAGGGTTACTCAAGCTCAGTCACTTGACGGTGAAAATGACACTTTGCTTTCATCTTTCTTTATTATTTTATACTCATTTACACAGGAAAACAAAGGAGGAAGAGAAAGGAGGAAAAAAGGGAGGGGCGATAGAAGCTCTCATCACGGAGGAATACTTGGTATGTGACTGTTTGGTAGTTTCTGTCAGGTACTCACAGAAACTACCTACAGTTGATCAGATTCAGCCATTTAAGGTCATACAGAGATAAGCATTACAACATTACGTCATATAAATAAAAACGTGTAACTGTACTATAGCTGTCAGGGATCACCTGAAGGCAAAGTCAGCTGTGTCGTGTCATCCTCGTGTACTCACCTCTACCAACCACTTACTCACTGATCACACAGACACATATCGTGCCATTGTGCACTATACACAACCACTTTAGGTCATACAGACCCAGACATAGGGGATGACATCACATTCCAAAGACATACATAACTATCTCTGTTTGTAAGACTTCCTCTAAGGCTAAACTTCACCTGATCCAGATCTATCTGGAATTTCAGGTTTTGTTCCTGATGCCGTTATGTGTTAATATTAAATCTGCACATTAACTAACCAACATGAAACACACCCTTCCTCACGGCCTCAGTTAATAGTTCATCTTCCAGCTACCTTTACTTTAGGCTGGCAATATAAACTGTGATGAATATCCAAGTCTTAATTTTAATTCAATCCATCTGGGTCAAAGGTTGGATGACCTACTTTTTTTTTCTCAACCACTCTATTAGTATTCTGGTGTTTGGCTCTTACAGCTGAACACTTGAAGAAGTTTCTAGAAGAACTATAGATGAAATGTGTTGAACCTCTCTGGGTCAATCCAACTGCCATAATGTCTGAATGTAAAGGCCTTCTGGGTTCCCCCAATCTCATGAACTGTTGAGTATGTCATCCAGTCATATCCGAAACTGTCAATCAAATATAATGGTTCAACACCTGTACTACACCAGACCTGGTATCAATGTTGCTCAGTCTCTCTCTGACACATACAGTATACAGTGACTAACAACGTTACAGTGACATGAAAGTGATACCTTTCCTAGTAGGAAGTGGGTGTTTGCAATTTTACATGTTCCACACTCCTTTACCATGGGTTTTTTTGATCATCATTAGCAATCATAAACCATGTGTGAAGTAATCGTCTCCTGGTTATTTAAGTAGAATGGAATGTTCCTTTGTAATTATAAACCTATTACAATAATGGCAAGGGTTGTTATTTTTAATTAATAAGAATAGAATGTGCAGGATAGAAAATTAGAACCTAAGGCTTGAGCTTATTTAATTAGAGAATACATTAAGACAGGAAGTTAGAAATTATTTGGCAAAACTAGGCAAAGGAAACCTCAAGAGTAAAAAGCTGCCTCAGCAAAAGTATCAGTGTCAGTCCGTAACAAATTGATTGTACTTGTTCTATTTTTTTCCCTTTTCCAAACCCTATGTTTTCACTTGGCAAAATAGTTTACATAAAATGAAGAGTTCAAAAACAGTACAGAGAAGTGTGGATTAGAAGCATCTCTAGTGGAACTGCTGAAAGGGCACCTTTGTGTGTGTGTTTATTTTATTTATTTATTTATTAGTGTTGATGTGTGTGTGTGTGTTTTAACTATTGAATTTTAATGCTCATGTTGGTGCTACTTGACTG